AGTGTCAAAATGTTATATGGCTTACTTTGTGTCCAGCGGTTCCATCCAGCTCACTGTCAGGTCTTCACCTCCCCTCGTTCTCTACGAACTTGGTGAGTACCACTGCCCTCCAGGATGCGATGGTCACTACCACCACTCCTGGGGGTCAGCGTGTGTCGATCTGCACGTGTACACGGACGGGCCGTCACCTAGCCACATTCACTCGTCGGCCTGGGTTGAGTCTGTACACCCTGTCTACCGAGCCTCCTCAGGTAGTTGCATCTGCCCAGGTGTCCGCGTCAGGTCCGATAGCACCCCCCTGCTCGTGTCGCCTCCTGACGCACCAGACTCTCCTGTGGCACCATAGACTTGGTCACCCCTCCCTGCCACGCCTACGTGGCATGCAATCCCGCCTCCTTGTCTCTAGTCTTCCGAGGTCTCTGCCTCCCCTCCCGCCCTCGCCTGCCCCGCCCTGCCTTCCTTGCGTCGAGGGGCGGCAACGCGCCGCTCCTCACTCCTCCTCGTTGTCAGAATGTGTAGTTTGTCTAGCCTGCAGTGGGGTACTCTATAGTGAGTACGGCCCCTTAGGGTTTCCTATATGTATCCACCTGCTTGCTAGTGCAACCCTCTCCTTTTGCCTATTTTCTCTTACCTAGCTAGCTAAACCCTAGCCATGGCTCCTTATTCCTCGTACATTTCTCACACTCGTTTCCCCCGACGACTGCTCCCCTGCAGACTCTCCACATGGACGTGTGGGGCACAGCCCGTGTCAATGGACAGGGCCGCGAGCGCTACTTTCTGCCGGTTGTTGACGGCTACACACGTTACACCACGGTCTTCCCCTTGCGCAGCAAGGGTGAGGTCCTTGATGTCTTGATCCCTTGGATCCGCGTAGTCTGTCTCCAGCTACGCGAGCGGTTCCGCCAGGACCTTCCTATCCTGCGTCTGCACTCTGACAGAGGTGGTGAGCTCTCCTCAGACCTCTTGCGGGACTTTTATCGTGGGGAGGGCATCCTCCAGTCGTTCACGCTTCCGGCCTCACCGCAAAAAAATGGGATTGCTGAGCGTCACATTGGCTTAGTCATGGAGGTTGCTCGTACCTCCATGATCCATGCGGCTGATCCCCATTTTCTGTGGCCGTTTGCGGTCCAATACGCTGCGCATCAGCTCAACCTCTAGCCCCATGTCTCCTTGCTGGAGACCTCGCCAACACTGCGTTGGACAGGGAAGGTTGGCGATGCGTCGGTGTTCCGGGTCTGGGGTTCTCGTGCCTTTGTCCGCGATACGTCCGCGCACAAGCTCTCCGCCCGTGCAATTCCCTGCGTCTTCCTTGCCTTTCCCCCTGACGCGCCTGGCTGACAATTTTACCACCCCACCTCGCGTCGTGTCCTCCCCAGGATGTCACGTTTGACGAGTCGGTTCTATTTTACCGTCTCTTTCCCTACCGCTCTGCCCCTCTCCCACCCCTGCCGCTCTTCCTTGCTCCATGTCCCCCTCCGGTAGACCCCCTTCCCCCTCAGGGTCGTGCTCCCTCAGGTGTGTCTCAAGTAGACCCACTCCCTGGTACGGTGCCTGTTGAGGTCGCTGTCGACTGCGGTGCTGCTAGAGGTACTGCGTCTGGGGGTGCTGAGCCTGGGGGTGCTGAGCCTGGGGGTGCTGAGCCTGCTGGTGCGGAGACTGGGGGTGCTAAGTCTGAGGGTGCGAGGTCTGGGGGGGGCTGAGCCTGGGGGTGCGGAGCCTGGGGGTGCTGAGCCTGAGCGTGCGGAGCCTGGGGGTGCTGAGTCTGAGGGTGCGTGGTCTGGGGGGGCTGAACCTGGGGGTACTTTCTCTCCTAGAGGTCCTCCGAGTGCCTTGTCGCGGCGGGAGCCTCTCTCTCCAACGCAGCTGCGCGAGTGGTTTGCTCGGCGCACCCGCCTTCGGAGTGGCTCGGCTGGAGCCGGAGGGTCTGCCACTGGAGACACTGGAGCTGTTGGAGCTAGAGGTGCTGCAGGAGTTGGAGCTGGGGACCTTGGAGTTGGAGGCACCGGAGATGGAGGCGCTGGCCCTGGGGGTGCTGGTGCTGTTGGTGCTGGTTCTGGAGACACTGGACGGCCGCGACCGTACTTCGTTCCTCTGCTTCAGCAAATTCTTGGTCTTCCGTCTTCTACTGGCCTTAATCCTCCCTTACTGTGTCCACCGCCTGACCAGTCGCAGCCGCCGTTGCAGCCAGCCTCCCCACTGCCTGCTCCTTCTCCCTACACTGAGCAGACTGGAGGTCTTACAGAGCGTCGTGAGCCTGTGTCTTTTCCTGCCTCGCCTGTTTGCTCTGTTCGCACTGGTCGTCGTGTTCCATGTCAGCGTCCTCCTCCTGTCCCCGGCACGCACCCTATGGCACTTCGTCCTTCCTCTGTTCTACAGCGTGTCCCCCTGCCGTCTCATCTTGCGTCCTCTCTTGGTGACGGTCCGGACCCTGAGTCTGTTCGTGCTGCCAGTCCTACTGTCACACGTCTTCTAGCCACAGTTGTCACCGACCCTTCGTTTGACTCTGCTGCTGCGTCTGCCCTAGTTGCTGAGCTTGTTGACTTTGCTGCCGCCTGTCGTCTCGACTACGCCGCTAGTCTTGTTGCTGAGTCTTCATCTGACTGCCCTCCGTCCGTCGGGGGTGAGTGTGCTCTTGGCACGGACGTCCTTGAGGACATGTAGGAGGACTTTGAGTGTTTTGCAGCTGCTGTACCTCATCTCGTGTCCATGCTGATTGCACCTGAGGGAGACCCGGATGCACCAGACATCCCGACCCCGCGCTCTTACGCAGAGGCGATTACGGGTCCCTACTCCTCTCAGTGGCAGACAGCCATGGACGCATAGATGGCATCCTGGAAGTCCACAGGCACTTACGACGACGCAGTTCCTCCTGCTAGGGCGAACATAGTCGATGGCATGTGGATTTTCAGGGTGAAGCGGCCGCCGGGTTCTTCGCATGCCTTCAAGGCTCGTTACGTTGCACGAGGCTTCAGATAGCGACAGGGAGTTGACTTCTTTCAGACCTTCTCCCCTACCCCGAAGATGACCACTCTTCGGGTGTTGCTGCACGTCGCTGCTCAGCGTGACTACGAGCTGCACTCTCTTGACTTCAACACAGCTTTCTTACAGGGCAGCCTGCACGAGGAGATCTGGCTGCGCCGCCCACCTGGCTTCACTGGGTCGTTTCCTGCAGGTACCCAGTGGAGCCTCCGACGGCCAGTCTACAGTCTCCGCCAGGCGCCTCGCGAGTGGCACGACACACTAAGGACGACGCTTTCGGCTCTTAGGTTTGCTCCTTCTACTGCTGACCCGTCGCTGTTTCTACGCACCGACACTTCGCTGCCGCCGTCCTACATCCTCGTGTACGTCGATGACTTGGTCTTTGCCACTGCTGACACTGAGGCACTGACCCTTGGGAAGTCGGAGCTGCAGAAGAGACACATGTGCACTGACCTGCGTGAGCTGCGCAACTATCCTGGCTTGCAGATCACCCGGGACAGAGCACGGCGCACCATCACCCTGACTCAGTCACACATGGTGCGCCAGGTCCTTCAGCCCTTCGGCTACCGGTACTCCTCGCCACAGTCCACTCCTCTCCCTACTGGTCACTCGCTATCAGCTCGACCTTCTGACGAGTCCGTAGAGCCGAGTGGCCCGTATCCAGAGCTTGTGGGTTGCCTCATGTACCTGATGACCTGCACTCGACCTAACCTTGCTTACCCTCTTAGCATCCTGGCACGCTACGTTGCGCCCGGGAGACACCGTACTACTTGTGCAGTACTTCGGGCACGGGGCTCGTGCTTGGAGGACGGGGTCCAGTCGTCCTCACTGGACACGCAGACGCTTCTTGGGTTGACGACTTGGCTACGCCTTGGCTCTGGCTCTGTTTCCTGGCGGTCTACCCGCTCGTCTTCGGTTCTCAGTTCCAGTTGTGAGGCTGAGATTTGCGTAGGGGCCATGGCTGCACAGGAGTTACGCTGGCTCACCTACATGCTGACCGACTCGGGAGAGTGGCCTCGTTTTTCTCCAGTTCGTTACGTAGACAACAAGGCCATGATTTCCTTGTATCAGGAGCACAGACTGGAGCATAGAACGAAGCACATCGCTCTGCGTTACTTCCTTAATCGAAAGTTGCAGCAGCGTGGTCAACTTCGTCTTGCTTACATGGCCACTAGGGCCAACATTGCTGATCTATTCACCAAGGCACTTCAGTCTGGTGACCATCAGTGGTTCTATACTATTTTAGGCCTTGTGCCTACTTTGCCTCACTTGCTTACTGCGTGACTTTGCTTGTACTGTGATCTATAAAAATACCCGCATGCTTACACTTGCTAGGGTATTATCACTGTACTGTTTGTTCTCTTTTATGTAGAGGCATGTGAACTGGCCTTGTGGCCTTTGCTTGTGCTCGGAATGTGTGGTGACTTTGTGATCCACCCTGAGCTTGCTTTGCTTTTCTTGACTGGTCTTGTGACCTCTTGTTTTCCCCCACTTTGCCTATGGGGGTGTGTCAAAATGTTATATAGCTTACTTTGTGTAGGCTATAGTGGGGTAGCCCATAAGGGGTACAACCCAATTAGGGTTAGTACTTGTACCCAACTTCATTCTCAATGCATTCATTCTCGTTCGTTAGTTTGACAGTAAGGGTGCATGTGTTTTGGAAATTATTTGCAAAACTCGAGTTTTGAGTTGAACTGTACACATTTGAACCTAGGTCGACCTAGGCTAGAGTATATCCACTTCTGCATCCCGAGTCGCTGCTCCTCAACTCACAAGAGTCACAGGACACACAAAATTTTGACTATCGAAGTTGAACTTTTTACAGCTTTCCCGAGTCACGACCAGCCTACGTAGGTTACCCGGTTTAGCTACATCCGCCGGAACCCTGATTTCCGAATTCGTTAGTGCGCACGATGGTTTCGCGTTTGTCGCAGAATTCGCAGCTTCCTCGTGTATGGTCATGAGGACACACGCGTGACTTTTCGTGCACGCATGGTTTGTGTCGAAAGCTCGACCCAGGTTTAGTGTCCAACTTCATCCATCGTGTTGGGCAAGGACGTGTTAGAATAGTAGCTAGACTTAGGAGCCATAGCTACGTTAGAGTGTCGAGAGAGTTGAGTGTCGAGAGGAATTGAGTAAGGGAGAATCGAGAAAGAGATGGTTTCACTATAGGAAGTTGGGATACAAATAGCAAACCCTAAATTGGGTTGTACTCACTACAGAGTACCCCACTGCAGGCTAAACAGCAAATACATTCTGACACACCCCCATAGTCAAAGTGGGGTATAATCAGCAGAGCAAGCAGTCATAGAGCAGGTTCACAAGTACAAGCAAAGCTAGAGGCATTCACAAAGGGCAAGTGAGGAGGAGGAGGCTGGACTGTGAGAGGAGAGGAGATAGGAGGCGGCGGCTGATGCTGCAGACACACGGGCAACAGGAGCGGCACGCACTGTGGCTACCGGGGCCGTATCCCCGGACTACAGGAGTAATTGGCTCTGCGGCTAACTCCGAGCGGCATGAGCAACGGACCCACAGGCGACAGGCGCAGCAGGCTCTCTGAGCTACCAGAAGCAGAGCTCCGGACTACAGGAGTTGCGGACGACAAGACGGCAGCCTCCGCTCAACCTCCCCCAACTGTCCCACCCCCCTTTCACACACCCCTTGCTGCACCCCTAGCTCCACTCCCACGTCACCCCCCTAGCACCACTCCCTCGGCTCCCACACACCCACCCCCCTCAGCGGCAGCTGCAGCAGTGGGAGACGGAGGAGGAGGAGGAGCAGGGGACGGTTCACACACCCGCCACCCCCATACCCTCCCCCCACTGCTGCACCTGCAGCAGGGGATGGAGGAGAAAGGGGAGGGGGGGGGGGGCGGGGGGGGCGGGGGGGGGGGGGGGGCTGTGCATGGCGCGTGCAGAGGGAAGCAGGGCGCACGGGGCGCACAGGGCAGCAGGGTGCACAGGGCAGCAGGGCAGCAGGGCGCGCGGGGCGCACAGGGCTGCAGGACGCGCGGGGCGCACAGGGCAGCAGGGCGCACAGGGCTGCAGGGCAGCAGGGCGCGCAGGGCTGCAGGGCAGCAGGGCGAACAGGTCTGCAGGGTAGCAGGGCGCGCGGGGCGCGCAGGGCTGCAGTGCGCGCAGGGCGCGCAGGGCGTGCAGGGCAGCAGGACAGCAGGGCGCGCAGGGCTGCAGGGCGCACGGGGCGCAGCAGGGCTGCAGGGCGCGCGGGGCGCGCAGGGCAGCAGCAAGGGCTGTAGCGGCAACAGCAAGGGCTGTAGCGGCAGCAGCAGGGCAGCAGGGCGCACAGGGCTGCAGGGCAGCAGGGCGCACAGGGCTGCAGGGCAGCAGGGCGCGCGGGGCGCGCAGGGCTGCAGGGCGCACGGGGCGCACAGGGCTGCAGGGCACGCGGGGCGCACAGGGCAGCAGGGCAGCAGGGCAGCAGGGCGCACAGGGCTGCAGGGCAGCAGGGCGCGCGGGGCAAACAGAGCAGCAGGGCGCACAGGGCTGCAGGGCAGCAGGGCGCACAGGGCTGCAGGGCAGCAGGGCGCGCGGGGCGCGCAGGGCTGCAGGGCGCACGGGGCGCACAGGGCTGCAGGGCGCACAGGGCGCACAGGGCAGCAGGGCGCGCGGGGCGCGCAGGGCTGCAGGGCGCGCAGGGCTGCAGGGCGCGCATGGCGCGCAGGGCAGCAGGACAGCAGGGCGCACAGGGCTGCAAGGCAGCAGGGTGTGCAGGGCTGCAGGGCAGCAGGGTGCGCGGGGCGCGCAGGGCTGCAGTGCGCGCAGGGCGCGCAGGGCAGCAGGACAGCAGGGCGCGCAGGGCTGCAGGGCAGCACAGGGCTGCAGATCCCCTCCCCCCCACCGCTGCACCCGCAGCAGGGGGATGGAGGAGAAGTGGGGGGGGGGGGGGGGGGCTGGGAGGGGGGGGGGGGGGGGGAGGGCTGATGCTGCAACTCCCCTCCTCCCCACTGCTGCACCCGCAGCAGGGGGATGGAGGAGAAGGGGGGGGGGGGGGGGGGCTGGGGGGGGCTGGTGCTGCAGATCCCCTCCTGCCTCCCCCTGAACCTCCAAGCTCCCAACACAGGGTGCGGCAGGGAGAGAGAGAGGAGAAAAGGGCGGGGGGGCGGGGGGGGGGGGGGGGGGGGGCTGATGCTGCAAATCCCCTCCCCCCACTGCTGCTGCAGATCCCCTCCCCCCACTGCTGCACCCGCAGCAGGGGTGGAGGAGAAAGGGGGGGGGGGGGCGGGGGGGGGCTGGTGCTGCAGATCCCCTCCTGCCTCCCTCTGAACCTCCAAGCTCCCCCCCCCTCCCAACACAGGGTGCGGCAGGGAGAGAGAGAGGAGAAAAAGGGGGGGGGGGGGGGGGAGGGGGGCTGATGCTGCAAATCCCCTCCCCCCACTGCTGCTGCAGATCCCCTCCCCCCCACTGCTGCACCCGCAGCAGGGGTGGAGGAGAAAGGGGGGGGGCGGGGGGGGCTGGTGCTGCAGATCCCCTCCTGCCTCCCCCTGAACCTCCAAGCTCCCCCCCCTCCCAACACAGGGTGCGGCAGGGAGAGAGTGAGGAGAAAAGGGCGGGGGGGGGAGGGGGGGGGGGGGGGGGGGCTGATGCTGCAAATCCCCTCCCCCCACTGCTGCTGCAGATCCCCTCCCCCCCACTGCTGCACCCGCAGCAGGGGTGGAGGAGAAAGGAGGGGGGCGGGGGGGGCTGGTGCTGCAGATCCCCTCCTGCCTCCCCCTGAACCTCCAAGCTCCCCCCCCTCCCAACACAGGGTGCGACAGGGAGAGAGTGAGGAGAAAAGGGCGGGGGGGCGGGGGGGGGCTGATGCTGCAAATCCCCTCCCCCCACTGCTGCTGCAGATCCCCTCCCCCCACTGCTGCACCCGCAGCAGGGGTGGAGGAGAAAGGGGGGGGGGGGGGCGGGGGGGGGCTGGTGCTGCAGATCCCCTCCTGCCTCCCTCTGAACCTCCAAGCTCCCCCCCCCTCCCAACACAGGGTGCGGCAGGGAGAGAGAGAGGAGAAAAGGGGGGGGGGGGGGGGGGGAGGGGGGCTGATGCTGCAAATCCCCTCCCCCCACTGCTGCTGCAGATCCCCTCCCCCCCACTGCTGCACCCGCAGCAGGGGTGGAGGAGAAAGGGGGGGGGCGGGGGGGGCTGGTGCTGCAGATCCCCTCCTGCCTCCCCCTGAACCTCCAAGCTCCCCCCCCTCCCAACACAGGGTGCGGCAGGGAGAGAGTGAGGAGAAAAGGGCGGGGGGGGGAGGGGGGGGGGGGGGGGGGGCTGATGCTGCAAATCCCCTCCCCCCACTGCTGCTGCAGATCCCCTCCCCCCCACTGCTGCACCCGCAGCAGGGGTAGAGGAGAAAGGAGGGGGGCGGGGGGGGCTGGTGCTGCAGATCCCCTCCTGCCTCCCCCTGAACCTCCAAGCTCCCCCCCCTCCCAACACAGGGTGCGACAGGGAGAGAGTGAGGAGAAAAGGGCGGGGGGGCGGGGGGGGGCTGATGCTGCAAATCCCCTCCCCCCACTGCTGCTGCAGATCCCCTCCCCCCCACTGCTGCACCCGCAGCAGGGGTGGAGGAGAAAGGGGGGGGGCGGGGGGGGCTGGTGCTGCAGATCCCCTCCTGCCTCCCCCTGAACCTCCAAGCTCCCCCCCCCTCCCAACACAGGGTGCGGCAGGGAGAGATAGAGGAGGAGGCGCGGCGGCAGCTGCTGCTGCTGAGGCACATCCGCCACCCCCTCACACCCTCTCCCCCCCGTCCCCATGGAGGAGGGGGAGGGGGGGGAGGGGGGCGGGGGCGGAGCTGCGCGTGCGACTGCAGGGCACGCGGGCAGGAAGTCATCACCCCTCTTGCCATAGCTAGGGCCGACGAGGCCAGTGGGGCCGAGGAGCGCGGCTAGGTACGGGGCCGGGCGCTGGGCTAGGGACGGGGCCGGGTGCTGGGCAGGTACGGGGCCGGGCGCTGGGCAGGTACGGGGCCGGGTGAGGGCTACGTACGGGGCCGGGCGCTGGCTAGGTACGGGCCGAGCGCGGGCGAGAGACGGGGCCGGGCGCGGGCAGGGTACGGGCCGGTCGCGAGGCTAGGTGCGGGCCGGGCGCGGAGCTAAGAACGGGGCCGAGCGCGGGCAGGGTACGGGCCGGTCGCGAGGCTAGGTACGGGCCGGGCGTTGGGCGCGGAACGGAGGCCGGGCGCGAGGCTAGGTACGGGCCGATCGCGGGCTAGGTACGGGGCCAGGCGCGGGCTAGGTACGGGGCCGTGCGCGAGGCTAGGTACGGGCCGATCGCGGGCTAGGTATGGGGCCAAGCGCGGGCGAGGTACGGGCCGGGCGAGGGGCTAGGAACGGGGCCGAGCGCGGGCTAGGTACGGGCCGATTGCGGGCTAAGTACGGGCCGGGCGCGGGGCGACGGAGTCGACGGGGCCAGCGGGGCCGAGGGGCGCGGCTAGGGGCGACGGGGCCAACGGGGCCGAGTGTCACAGCAAGGGGCGACGGGGCCAAGGGGCCGAGCCTAGGGGCTAGGGGCTACGTCAAGTGGCGACGGGCCGGGGCCTAGGCTAGCAGGGCATTAGGTGGTGGGCCCATTGATGTTAGGTCCTAGAACTTATTGCTCTTAATACCATGTTAGCATAGTAGCTAGACTTAGGAGCCATAGCTACGTTAGAGTGTCGAGAGAGTTGAGTGTCGAGAGGAATTGAGTAAGGGAGAATCGAGAAAGAGATGGTTTCACTATAGGAAGTTGGGATACAAATAGCAAACCCTAAATTGGGTTGTACTCACTACAGAGTACCCCACTGCAGGCTAAACAGCAAATACATTCTGACAGGACGCACAGTTGACTGACGAAACATTTGGCGAGATTCGCGAAAAGGGTTACCATCAAAAGTTCAAGGGAAAATATGTGATTGTTAACTTATATAGGGCACTATAACGTGTACGGTAACCATTACACGATGTTTTCGCGCATTTGGTAACTCGCTTCACGCGTTTAGTAACTCACTTCACGCGTTTGGTAACTAAACACTAGCAGCAGATCACGCTAATGGTAACTATTAAAATCATCAGGTCTTACATGACCACGATTTCAGGTTTTCCCGCTCGCGCGAAAATAGATTGACGAATCCAAACGCATCGCGTTTTGCCTTTCACACGCATTTTCTGAATCAAGGTAATTAGCGCGCAGGTAGTTTTCTGCGTACTATTTACGAGTTTTAATGAATTGTTTCTAGCACACTTCTAGAATGCTACGTTTGTTTACGTCTATCGTATATTCGAGGCAAAAAGACATAAAACCCTTTAAGATGGCATGCGATCCTGTAGCATCAACCCTAAACACCTTGCGACAATGTGTCTAGGGTTTATATTTACGAAATTGCATGTATATTTTTTTCGTGCCTATAAATTTTGACCATGCTTGAATATGATAGGGCCCTGTGTCAGAATGTTATGTTTGTCTAGCCTGCAGTGGGGTACTCAATAGCGAGTACAGCCCAATTTAGGGTTTGCTATATGTACTCAACTGCCTGCTAGTGAAAGCCCTCTTTCTTGTTTCTAACTTTCAATTGCCATTCCAACACCTTGAAATGTTAGGTCCGTAGAAATAAGCAAAACACGATTCTCATAAAGCGCGGCGAGAGCCATTCACGGATTCAAAAAGCGGCAACGAATCTAAAAAAAACTAAATTTCATGAAATCGGGATCTTTTCGGGCGGGGGTTTCTTATAATTACCATTCGCGTGATTATTCGCCACTCTCGAATTACCAAACCCGTTAAGAGAGTTACCAAACGCGTGAAACCATACTGAAATTATTACCGTACGCGTTACAGAGCCCCATAAAACTAACCATTAGCATATTTTCCCAATGTTCAACCAATTTTTCGAACCTCTACAGAAAAAGACACGCACCCTAACCACTTCAAACAAACCATAATGTACACTTCTCAAGTTTAGCTAGGTTCAGAAAGGTCGTTCACTGGTGTTGGGCAAAGATCAAACAGGGGCCAAAAAATAGCAGGGGGGTGTCCAAATAAGGGCCGGGTAACCGAACTTGAACACTTGGAGTTAATAACATGGTTTCCCATAATCGCGTGATTTGGTTCTCTTCTTAATGGTTCTAACGTGTCGTAACTGATTGAGAGGAAACTTGTTAAACTAACGAACGAGGATAAATGAACTATGAAAGAGTTGGGTACACGTACTAACCCTAATTGGGTTCTACCCCTTATGGGCTACCCCACTATAGCCTACACAAAGCAAGCAATATAACATTCTGACACACCCCCAGAGGCAAAGTGGGGGAGAACAAGTGGTTACAAGACCAGTCAAGAAAAGCAAAGCAAGCTCAGGGTGGATCACAAAGTCACCACACAGTCCGAGCACAAGCAAAGGGCCACAAGGCCAGTTCACATGCAGTGTTATATAAAGAGCACAAGTAGTACAGTGATCATAGCCTAGCAAGAGTAAGCATGCAGGTATATATTTATCACAGTACAAGCAAAGTCATGTAGTGAGCAAGTGAGGCAAAGGTAGCACAAGGCCTAAAACAGTAGAGAAGCGCTGATGATCACCAGGCGGAAGTGCCTTGGTGAATATATCAGCAGTGTTGGCCCTAGTGGCCACGTACGCAAGACGAAGCTGACCACGCTGCTGCAACTCTCGAGCAAGGAAGTATCGCATAGCGATGTGCTTCGTTCTGTGCTCCTGACACAAGGCAATCATGGCCTTGTTGTCTACGTACAGAACTGGAGGCAAACGAGGCTGCTCTCCCAAGTCAGATGTCAGAACATTATAGCTTTTACATTTGTGTAGGCTATACTGGGGTAGCCCATAAGGGGTACAACCCAATTAGGGTTAGTACTTGTACCCAACTTCTGTTCAATGCATTCATTCTCGTTCGTTATTTTGACATGGAATCAGAGCAGGCTCCTTGGGCCCACCACCTGCTACGCTGCTAGTAACCCCCCCTAGGCCCGTCGCCCCTAGGCCCGTCGACCCTAGCCTACGCGCCAGGCCCGTCGACCCTAACCTACGCGCGCCCGGCCTGTCGCTCCTAACCTACGCGGCCCGTCGACCCCTAGCCCGCAGCCCGTCGACCCCTAGTCCTCGGCCCGTCAACCCTAGCGCCCGATCCCGTCCCTAGCCCGCGCCCGGCCCCGTTCCTAGCCCGCGCCCGGCCCCGTCCCTAGCCCGCGCCCGGCCCGTACCTAGCCCAGCGCCCGGCCCCGTACCTAGCTTGCGCCCGGCCCCGTACCTAGCCCAGCGCCCGGCCCCGTACCTAGCCCAGCGCCCAGCCCCGTACCTAGCCCGCGCCCGGCCCCGTACCTAGCCTGCGCCTGGCCCAGTCCCTAGCTCGCACCCGGCCCCGTACCTGCCCAGCGCCCGGCCCCGTCCCTCGCCCAGCGCCCGGCCCCGTACCTAGCCCGCGCCCGGCCCCGTACCTAGCCCGTGCTCGGCCCCGTACCTAGCCTCGCGCCCGGCCCCGTTCCGTACCCAGCGCCCGGCCCCGTACCTGCCCAGCGCCCGGCCTCGTCCCTAGCCCAGCGCCCGGCCCCGTACCTAGCCCGCGCCCGGCCCAGTACCTAGCCAGCGCCCGGCCCCGCACCTAGCCCTGCGCCCGGCCCCGTTCCGCGCTTAACGCCCTGCCCCGTACCTGCCCAGCGCCCGGCCCCGTCCCTAGCTCGCGCCCGGCCCCGTACCTGCCCAGCGCCCGGCCCCGTCCCTCGCCCAGCGCCCGGCCCCGTACCTAGCCCGCGCCCGGCCCCGTACCTAGCCTCGCGCCCGGCCCCGTTCCGTACCCAGCGCCCGGCCCCGTACCTGCCCAGCGCCCAGCCTCGTCCCTAGCCCAGCGCCCGGCCCCGTACCTAGCCCGTGCCCGGCCCAGTACCTAGCCAACGCCCGGCCCCGCACCTAGCCCTACGCCCGGCCTTGTTCCGCGCCCAACGCCCGGCCCCGTACCTGTCCAGCGCCCGGCCCCGTCCCTAGCCCAGCGCCATGCCCTGTACCTAGCCCGCGCCCGGCCCCGTACCTAGCCCGCGCCCGGCCCAGTACCTAGCCAGCGCTCGGCCCCGTATCTAGCCCTGCGCCCGGCCCCGTTCCGCGCCGAACGCCCGGCCCCGTACCTGCCCAGCGCCCGGCCCCGTCCCTAGCCCAGCGCCCGGCCCCGTACTTAGCCCGCGCCCGGCCCCATACCTATCCCGCGCCCGGCCCAGTCCCTAGCTCACGCCCGGCCCTGTACCTAGCCCCGCGCCCGGCCCCGTCCCTAGCCCAGCGCCCGACCCCGTACCTAGCCCGCGCCCGGCCCCGTACCTAGCCCGCGACCGGCCCCGTCCCTAGCCCGCGCCCGGCCCCGTCGTCCTCTTAGCCCCACTGTCACTACTGCTACTGCTACAGCTGCTACTGCTGCTCCTACGTACTGCACAACTATGGCTTCGCTTCGGGTCCTTGCGTTTGATCATGAGGGTAGACCAGTTCAATTTGACACGTGGCTTGACGACCTGCAGCTGTACCTACTGAGCGATTTTAAGGACAGTGTCTCGCTGTTTGACCTAGCGTTAGGAGCTGCTACTGCCCCTCCCGCCACAGCTGACAGTTCGACTCGATCACAGTGGCTTACTCGAGATGCTACTGCCCGCTTAGCCATTCGCAACCACCTGCCATTAGCTGAATGCGCTCACTTCGGACAGCACAGGACAGCACAGGCGCTGTACGACGATGTAGTCGCCCGCTACTCCTCCCCTGCCACTGCTGCTCTAGGCCGCCTCCTTCTACCCTACCTGTTCCCTGAGCTGTCCGCCTTTGCCACAGTCGAGGACCTGGTTTCCCACCTTTCGCTAGTGACGCTCGCTACCGCGCTGCCGTTC